TAATCCTAGGAAGTCGATTGAGTTACCATCGACCTGTCTCACACAGCGTAGCTAATCATTCATCCTTCCTCCGTGTATTCGTTTCTACTGTAGTCCTGTCGTGTAAGTTGACCCCTGCCACCAGCACAGGGTAACTCCTGAGCACTGACAAACGAGGGAGTAACTGTGTCCAATATGAAACCTTATAATCCTCACCGCTTCCTCTCTCGTCCACGTATGTAGTGTAACAGGACCGAAGCAATTATAAAGCTACCAAAAATACAGACTTACTGCTGACCATGCTTGCTCCGGTAACGCCGCATGTTACCGAGCCGCCGCTGAGCAGAGCAGCCACCGATAATACGATCTTGTGGCCGTTGTGCAGACGATCGAAGGTGCCACCGAGAACCACGTCTTTATAAGCGCCGGTTGCTGGCGTGGTGGTCAGCGAATCGCCGACGGGCACGAAAATACCACGGCATCGGCACACGACGCCTTTACCGTTTCTGTCGTCAGAGGCATGAGGCAATTCGATCAAATTGGTTACGTCGGAAACGAACGGCAGCAGACACCTGAGTGTCTGCGCATCGCAGTCGGCAAGCAGGCAGTCGGCTGAGAGGGCGGCTGGGTGCACCTGACCATGGCCATGAGCGCTTTTCAGGTTCTGCAGCAGCACCCTGACGTCCAAGTCCTTACACGTCTCGCTGCAGATGCGGTAGACGCTGTACAGGAAGTGGAACGCACAAACCGGTCGTACGCTACGAAGGCCGGTCGGCTCCAAAGCGACGTACAACTTCGACCTCACCAATTGCCGTGCACGTAGCAATAGGCCTTTGAGGACACTCGGGTAGCCGCAAACGGCTTTCGTAATTACCAGCAGACCGACGTCGTTCATATCGATTTCGTCAGGACTGAAATAAAACGGTATCGAAACTCGTCATCTTCAAAAATATCACTGTGAAGCCACTACCACTGTCACTGTCTGTTTTTACTATGTAAATAAATATAAACTACATTATAAGAATTTCTTTTCGTGAGCGACTTTTATATTCTAGGCCCAAATTCAGCAAAGGATTTTCTTGATGCATGATCACGGCACTCAAACGTCCATCTTTATTTTAAGATTATTTATTCTCTCCTAATCGTGGATCAAGAATAAGTCGGTTGATAAAATACTTTATAAATGAAATCATGTGTACGCCATTTTTTCTGACCTTTTCAAACAAGCTCGGTTAGTCTTTAGAATTGTAAATCATAACCATATCATAAGTCTGAAGATTGGTGCTGGGTTATGAAGACTGAGCTTGGTTCGAAACTTAGTTGTGTACAACCAGGTTTATACCTTGTGCGGATTACTACACTCGATTGTCAGCTATCAGCTGGTCAAGGTGACTTAAAGCTTTGAGAGCATGTTCACACCGCTCGCCTATCTGGTATGATCACACGAAAACAATATTCTGCCCGGTTGTTCGCGTCAATAACTTACTATCCGTTTTTCGGCTGCTTTCACCGA